TAGCCCTTCAGTTTAACTGCATTAGCTTGAGAGGTAGCATGCTATAACTGCCTGGACCCAGGACCAACCCGGCCCTGCTGGGGCTCTATGCCTGGCTCTCCCATTGACCCACAGTGTGACCCTTGGCTATGTCTTGAGGATCAATTAGCACCTTATAGGAGCTGTGGGTGCTCTGCCCTTCAAGCCCTGACCACCCCATAGAAGTCAATACGAGTTTTGCTATTGCTTTCAGTGGACAGGAGACTGGGTCCTTAGTTTGCCTTGTGCTTTGCAAATGTAAAGTGTGAGGTGTTGTTTCCTGGTAAGTCATGAGTGCTCAGACCACAGGCCAGGTGCCAGTAACTGTCTGGAGGAAATGTACCCCATGTTTGACCCATTTCCCAGGTTGAGCATCTTCCCTTTGCTTCCTCCAGACCTGCAGGCTCATGCCGAGAAGAACAGATGCTCCTATGGTGTCCCCCAAGATGGAATGCTGAGGTCAGGAGACGATGCCTTGCTTAGTAAGTACTGTGTTTATAACCTATGCTAGGAGAATGAGAGTCTCCGTTGCCCTCTAGTGACTGATTCACATTAAAAAGTAATTGAGAGCTAATTTCTCTGCTTAGGAGTCTTAAGGATGAATTTTCAAATATATTTGCAGGTGGGCACCTAATGGTGTTTTCTAGAGCAGGGTTTCTCAGCCTTTTGGATACCAGGGACTGGCTTGCTGTCTTCCTAAACTGTGTCAGGGAGATCTCCTGGGACTGGGCTGGTCCTCGGACTGGTCATTGAGAAACCCTGAAACTGCCTAGGTGCTGATCTGCATCTTTAGACACCTAAATACCTTTCAAATCTGGCCCTTTGTCCTTTTAACTCAAGCAGTATAGGCTGAGGCTTTGATCACTGAAGGTTCAGGGTTTGGGTCCCATCATTGATCCATGTTAGCTAGTTTGTTTAGCCAATGTCGAGGGAGCATCAGGGGAGTATGGAAAAGGTAAAAATATTAATCTGCCTGAACAAAAGGCCAACTCTTGAACTTCTCAGAGCATCTGTACTTTGGGCATGTGGTTTCGTGGGCTTTGGTTTGTTCTCAGAATCACACATGAAATCTCATGGTACAGAGTGGGATAGAAAGAGCCAGGGCAGGAGAAACCTGACACGTGACACTCAATTTCTGCACCTCTGACACGTTATGGCCCCATCCTCCTGCCAGCCAGCTCAAGGGGAGTTTCGCCACCGAATTCTAGGGGGATGTTAATGCAGGCTCAGGCTCACCCGTCCTGTGCTTCTGCACTGAAAACAGCTGTGTAAACGCTGCACCTCAGGCCTCACTTGGGGCTCTGAAACCTGGGGTGAGTGTGGGGGTGGTCTTCAGCACTTAGTGAGGTAGCATGAGCCCACGTCTGTGGCTCGGAGGTTTGTTGCCACAGGCTACCATTGGCCACAGAAGTAACCAATGGAAGCAGCAGTTAATTCAGTAACAAAGGGCCTACAGTCATCAGGAGTCCTTCTGAGGACTGCCATGGGCTTTGGATCAGCCCAGGAGCTGGGTTTGGTTTGTATTTAACATAATATGAAGAATAAAGCTCAAAGTCTATGATGGATGTTGGCCTCATTGTATGGGACTGTTGGCAAGGGGTCGAACAGGCTCTCTCTGGCACTTGGGGCCTGCTCCATTGGCCAGCAGGTGTTTTGCCACAGACTGCAAGGGGGGCAGCAAGTGACACTTAACAAGGATCTTGGAGGCACATGGATTTTTCTCTTTTCCTTGATTTTGTAGGCTTAGCCTCTGCTCAACAGCCTCCTTGATATTGCAATGTATTGAATTTGGCTGCTACCAACCAGCCTTGATCAGCCACTTTCATTGCACTTGGGGCCTCAGTGAGGTGTGTGCGGAGATCTTGGTGAAAGGGCCTTCTAACCTTCCTTGTCAATTTCCCATTTCCATCCTCCAGCTTTGAGGGGGGAGGAAACACTTCTGGTTTTTTTTTTTTTTTTTTTTGTTCCTTCATCAATTAAGAACTTGTAGGAAAACTCCATGCTGGAGCCTGGTAGAAGAGAGGAAAGGAGCGAAACACCCTAAGGAAAGATGAGAAAGCTGAGCACCAGAGGAATGGAGCGGGAATGGAAGACTCCCTTTGACCTGAGTGGGCTTTGAAGAAGGCCCCTTAAGCCATTGTATGGTTTGTGTGTCTGCCTGTTTATCAGCCCTCAGTGAAGGTCTCTCTAAACAGAAAATCTCTTCTTTGGAAAGATTTGAACTTGTCACTGTTTGTTACTTAACACTGACAAGTAACCCGCCTTTCCCATCCTCTTAGCCCATGGCTGAGCAGTGCTGTCCTGTTTCTGTTAAGAGCTGATCACCAATGTCCAATTGATTTTTTCGCATGTGTGGAAAAATGCAGGGTCTTCTCCGTAACAGAACTGCAGCCTGATTTGGGATACAGGGCAGGAGAGGTGAAGTTCCAATTTAAAAAAAAAAACATTTCTATTTCAAAAAAATAAACTCTTATTAAAGTCTTCAGGGGTCTAGTGTTTGGGGCCTGATCCACTGGTGATTGACATCATATGCAGACTCCCACTGACTTCAATGGGCGATGGATCAGTCTCCTGAGGATGCTCTCCCTGCTTCAGCCTAGTGCTGAATAGCTCAAGGGGAATAGTTCCCTGGTGTTGCCTTGTGCCATCAGTTTAGCTATGAAAAAAATGGACCGGCTGATCAATCACATTATAATCCTTCTACAGCTTGAGCAGGACTGGCTGGCAGCAGTCCTTTGGCCCCCTCTCGTGGGGGTCAAGAATGAGTGACCTTACCCAGGTGTACTTTCCTAATGGCCTACCATCAAATTAGCCCTATATCAGAAAAATGCCTGTTAAGGCTTATAATGAGCTGCCACTCCATCTCTAAGGCTGGAGCTAGCCTGACACCTGCCTGGCTGCTTTATTATAATGAATTTCCTTAGCAGTAGGATAAAAATATTTGTGGGGTCTCTTAGCAATTTAAATTGGCTGGGGCCTACACACCCACAAGTGAGGTCCATTAGATTTTAACTCTACTTCAAAGGCAATGGGGTGGCTGGAAATACTGAATGACAGGAAACAAACGCAGTTCTCAAGAAACCAGCAGCAGGATTAAAGACGAGATGCCTGTGAAATGCAGGGAGAAAGGTAGCACTCAGCTCTGCCTTGCCTAGGATCTGAAGATGGTCACCTGCTAAACTGGGGGGTGTGGGAAGAGGCATTTATTTTTCCTGAGCAAAATCACAACCTTAAAAACCTGCACTTTGCATTCCAAAGGGGCACCCGCAAAGTCATTTACAGAATTGCCGCATTCCTTAATGACCCTCATCAAGGCCTGATCCAAACCTCATTCCTGGGAGCCTTTGTAGGGGCTTTTGGGTCAGAAACACCACTAAGTAAATAAAGCCCCAGTGGGGTGGTGAGTCACCCTTGGCCTGCCCCGGCACAGTCACTGACGCTGGCTCAATGTATGTACCCAATGCCAGCAGATCAGACTGGGCCTTGGTGTTTTTGCACTCTCGGCTGTACCAGTGTTTGGCGAATCAGGCCCCCTCTGCGCTCCATCATTTGGTCATCAGGCTCTACCCTGCCATGAACTACGTCTAATGGCAGTGGGCATTTGCTCATTTTCACCCACTGCTGGGTAAACTCCTGGTTCCATTGAAGGCAATGGAAATTTTGCTTCTAGGGGGCCAGGATTTCACCCCTTATGTTTAAGTCCAATGCTGTTTTTCTGTCTTTTAGCTTCTTCTTTCCCTTTCTTGGAAGAGTCCTATAAATAAAAGTCACAGGGTAAGAGAGACCGATGCAAACAGACAAAAGAACAGGGTTTTTTGTTAAAAACTTTCCACTGAAACATGCTCAAACCCCTTGTTAGTCAAGGAGGGGGGGGCAGGGACCCACCAGTCATTTTTTGTAGGGCTGGTCAAGGTCACAGGTACATGCATGGCTGTGTTTGCAGGTGTGAGTGTGTACAGATGAGGGGCTAGGAATCTGTGTGTGTGCATGTGAATTTGCATGTGCATTTCATAGGGTGGGCGGCTGTGAATCCATATGTGTGGCTGCAGTGATGAGTGTATTTATGGATGGCTTGTCTACATGGGGGTCATCTAATCCAAATTCACTAAAGGTGTGAAGTTGAGGGCATTTAGTGAAACCACCTTAAATCCCTGTGAGGATGCTGTTATGCAGAATTAAAGTGGCCTTAACTGGGTTTCGTTTAATCCACTTCACATGGGCCTTAATTTGGATTAATTTTCCCAGCTGGCCCTGTGAAGACAAGCCCCGAGAAAGAGAGAGTTTCTTTGCCTGTTTCAGAGTAACAGCCGTGTCAGTCTGTATCCGCAACAAGAAAAGGAGGACTTGTGGCACCTTAGCGACTAACCAATTTATTTGAGCATGAGCTTTCGTGAGCTACAGCTCACTTCATCGGATGCATACTGTGGAAAATACAGTGGGGAGATTTATATACACAGAGAACATGAAACCATGGGTGTTACCATACACACTGGAAGGAGAGTGATCACTTAAGATGAGCTATTACCAGCACCCATTGTTTCATGTTCTGTGTGTATATAAATCTCCCCACTGTATTTTCCACAGTATGCATCCATGAAGTGAGCTGTAGCTCAGGAAAGCTCATGCTTAGATAAATTGGTTAGTCTCTAAGGTGCCCCAAGTCCTCCTTTTCTCTTTGCCTGTTGGTGCCCCTGAGTGTAGGGGAGAGGTGTGTGGGTTGGGGAGGGGAGGGGAGGGGGGGGCGCTGCTGGGATACCAGCCATTTAAATCCGGTCCGTGGCTGAACCCAGCCCGGTTCAGCTGTGTGATTCTGGCCTTGACTCACCCCAACCAGGGAGATTTCCCCCCGTCATTCTGTCCTTGAGAAGGTGAAAGGTCTGGGGAACCATGGAGCCAGGGCACCCCGGATGACAGGCTCCTTTCCGAGAGCTGCCTCTCCTAAATCCCGGAGAGCAGGAGCAGCTTTCTGGGACTATCCCCCCCCCCCCGACTTGAGAGGTACGTCTCGCTGCTCGTGGTAAGGATTTCTGAGAGAAGGGGTGCGGGGGGAACCCCAGCCCCCAGAAAGCTGCAGTTAACACCATTTGCCTCAATGGGTTAAAAATAACCTGCCCAGGCTGCTGGAAAGCTGAGAGGGAACCTCAGCCAGCGCGGCTAGCGTTTCCCTTAAGGGAGGGACAAAGATCGTGTTGGTCTTAAATCCCAGGAATTAAATAGCCCCCTTCCCGCTCCCGCTGACTGCAATTGACAAGACACACACCCGGCAGCTTTAGGACACAGGTCGGTTCTTGTCGGTCTCACCCCCGGGAGGCGTCCCCATCTTCTGGCGCTTTAAATCCGGGGAAATCCTGTTTTAAAAAATCCCACTTAACCTCTCCCCTTGTTCTCCCCACCCCAGCCGGCGAAAGGGGGACCCCGGGACCCCCAGTAGAGCCGCCCGCCGGCAGGCAGCAGCAAACCCCTCACACGGCAGCCCCGCCACGGACAAAGCAACATTTCCCCCCTTTTTGTGTGCACAGGACAATGCCGCAAGCGGGGGATCGGCTGCCTGGAAGGGAGCAGCCCCTTTCCCAGTGTGTTCACATGGACACACGCCTCCTCCGCCGGCCATCCTCTGCACCTCGCTCCGAATGTCCCCCGGGTTGGCGAGCCCCTGGCTGGCCAGTGGGTCGCTCCGCACGGGCTATCCCTGTCCGTCACCGGAGCCCAGCTCACAACAAGCGCAAGAGGTGCCCAGGGCAGAGCGGCCAAATCGAGCAAAAACAAACAACCTGGGAATTGTAACTGCACAGACAGAATTTATTGCGCAAACCCGGCTCCCGAGCGAGGAGATCTTCGCTCTCTGCCTTACCCTCCTTTCCTTGGCTTGTCCCGGGTGTTAGGATCCATCTCCTCCCCGAGGAGCGATGCCAGGGGAGAGGCGTCTGAGTCCGGCTTCTCTCTTGGCATTCACCGCGTGCCTTAATTGTATGAAATTAAATCAAGGTCCGCTGTGAACACGAAAAGCGGAAGCCGAGCGGAGAAGGAACCGGAGTCACCCCGGATTAGCGAGAAAAGCTCCTTTGGATGGTTCGCCCGCCGCGGCTCCTCCGGCGGAAGACGGGGACCGGGGCTGCTGCTGCTGGGTGCGGATAACTCCTGGCTCTGCCTCCACGCTTCACTTTAGGGTCTTCTGCTCCCAGGTCCCTTCGTCTCCCGTGTGATCGCGGTCGGCTTCTCGGCTCCAGCGCGGCTGGTTCGTTTGGGTTTTTTTCCTCCTCTCCAGTGCTGGGATCGAGATTCTCCACCCCCACCCCCTTCCCCGGACCCGGAGATCCCTCTTCTCTGCAGCCGCTGGAGATCGGTTTTCCTTTTTGCAGGGGACACAAACAAGGATCATGCAAAAATAAATAAATAAATAAAATTCAGGGCAGGCATTGGAGAGTCTTTGAGGGGGCAGGGGAGAAATCAGGGCTCGCTGGCCCCCCTCCGAGCACGACAATGGGAAAGTCTTGTCCTGCCCGGCTCCCACCTGCACCGCATCCGCGCCCGGGTCACGCAGTTCTTGCTTTGCTCGGCCCTAGCCCAGAACTGGCCTCACACCGGCCCCGCCAAACGTCTCCTCCAGGCACCTGGGGCAGAGGCAGGACCCCCGCGTCTCAGCGCAGCGGCGAGGTGATCTCTGAAGGGTACAAAAAAACCAGCCAGCCCCCTCCGCTCCCGGCAGGACCCCTTTCCATGGCAATCGGAACGAAACCAGAAATCCGTCTCGGCTCTGTCGGGAGCAGCCTGGCTAATCCCGATCCACCCCAAAGCGCAGCCCCGGACTGGGCGAGCGATGCCTTGTGCTGTACAATTTACTCTCTGCCTCTCTCCTCCCATCCCGCCCCCTCCCCCCCCCATCAACCCAGATGATTCCGAGAGCCGGATTAGTGAGAGCGGCTCCGCCGTTTCAGATTACAGGGGCTCTGGGGATCGGCAGGCCGGGCAGGGGGGAGCACAGGGTGGGGGAAGGGGGAGGGGTTTTTGGTGTGGGGGGTTGTAATATTTCATTGAGGGAGGAAGGGGGGGCAACAGAGTGGTTTATTTAACGGCCTGAGAGCAATGGGAAGGGCAGATGATCCGGGGCACAGGCGAGGGGTAGACAATAGGGTTATATGGCAGATGATACCCCCCCCAGCTAGAGACGGGAGGGGGAAAACCCTGCCTCTGTTTCCTCTTTCTATAACACCTCGCTCCAGAGGGCAGCCGGGGGTGATCTTCAGGCCGGCTGCGGGCAGCTGCTCGGAGGCGGGACGGGTTCATGGGAGTTGGTTGGTTTGAACCCTGAAGGCTCAAAAGGCAAATAACGCCCCAGGGCTGGTTTGCTGGTTCCCTTTGGACCAGGCCGATGCAGCTATTTGGGGATGAAATGAGGCTGCTGCTGCTGATCATCCTCATCAAATTCCCCCGCAAGCTTGTCCCTGCATCCCCGAGCGTCCCTGTCAACCCACTGCAGAGAGCCAAGGAAACCAGTGAAGGGGGTGGGGAGGAAAGCCGCATTGGGGGAGGCTTGGCTGCATAACGGCTTAAACTCAGCGCATGTCCCGCCGGCGGTTGGATCCGCAGGAGTAGGGGCCACTTCTGGCAGCCTTGTTTGTTGCAAAATTGTTGGTGGATCCAAGACACCTGCCCTGGATCCAAGACACAAATGCAATCGGGGACCATTCCAGACCCCACAGCTCTCCCTCCATCCCTGCGCCCCCTTTTAAAACATGGATGGTAACGGGGGTCAAAGCCCCCGCCCCCGAGGACGGAGGTGATGCCCCAAACTGCGCGGAACTCCTCGCTGACACGTAACTTTTCAAAGGAATGAAGAGCGCCGGGGGAGATGTGTCACCTGGGCTTACTTCTGGCAAAGGAATTTTGCTAAAGCAAGGAATCAGGGGGAAAGCAGTTAGCCGGATAGACCAGACCCACACAGGGATCAGAGGGGGAAACTGGACATTGGGGGGAATTACTGTGCGGCCTTTGGAAGAAAAAATACTTCCCACTCTATTTATATTTTGAATTAAATCCCTGAAGGGTCCTTAGGACATACGTGGACCATCTCGGATCTCTTTCTGTTTTGATTCAGTCTCTCTAGCACGTGATGGCTTGTGGTCGGTTTGTTTTGCCTTAGGTGGAAGGATCCTCGTTTTTAATGCGATTTTTAAATGAAGACAAAACCGAAACAGCGTTTCCATTTTCGGAACAAAGCAAAACAAACCAACCCAGATTTCTGCAGTTTTCAAGTTGCTCGCTAATGGCCTTCTTCAGCCTAGATGTTATCCCGGAGGCCGAAATTGACATTTTCTTGTCTATTTCACGAAGGCTATTTCTGTGCTTCAGTCCCTCTTATCCTTCACCCTACTAGCCACCCATCGGTGTGTCCCCTGCATCCTTTTATGCACCTGAGAGATTAGAACAATCCTTGAGATCTGTTAACTTGCTAGGAAATAGGGCCAGGCATCCCCGCAGCTGAGGGCAGCCTCGCAATGTCGATTTATTTTTTTACGGGTGTGTGTGTGAGAGCGAGGGGGGAAAAAATCTGTATATTTCACAGCGGCAAGGGAAGCAAATCCTATCACCCATTTAATCTCCTTCCTGATGACTAACACTTGATGGACGATTAAAACACACACACCCGAAAAATGTATTCCCATTTACTAAAAATCCTCAACGATTCTGTCCTCAAAAACTGGACAACAGATAAACAAACTCACGTGTAAACCAAACCAAACCCCTCTCGCTTGTGTGGCCCCACGCAGTGATGTTTAGCTGCACTCCCAGAGCGTACTATGGGGTTGGCCTCTACGCATGAATATGAACGGGGCCTGCCGTGTCACCCTGTGGAAGGACTGAACCCTTTCCGGAAAGACTCCGCTACGAATTCACCCGGGTTTCCCTTCACGCCCTCAGGGGTTGTGTCTCGCTGCCTTTCTTGTGTCGGCGACATTTCCCCGGGCTTTGAGTGAGGCACACAGCGCACTGTAAAGGGTCACGGCCATGAAAGCGGCAGCAAGCCCGATAAACAACCAGCGACAGGACCGAATAACAACAACAGCGGATTCCCCGGCTTGGAGCGGCCGCAGTGTCCGAATCTCCGAGGCAGCCGCTGGCGCCTGCCCAAAAGGTGCGGCCGCGGGGCCCCGCGAAGGAAAGTCGCACCGAGGGGCTGGCCGCGGGACCTTCCCGGGGATCGGTCCAGCACGGAGACTGAGAGTCCTGATTTCTGTACTTCCTGGGCGGCTTCATGGCCTTTGTCACCCCGCTCTTATAAAAAACAAACCAAAAAGAAACTCAAGACTTTTATTTGAATCAGACCCTATTAAAAAGGAGGGCTACCAGGATACATTAATTATTAATTAGTATCCCTATTACTACAAAGAGATTTCAAAGTTCAGAATCTTCTTCCACTTGCGAGGATTAGGTCGGATTAATATATATATATATAAAATCTACGGGTTCCCTGCTGGGAGTCAGCCCGCGTGTCTCCGGCTTCTCGTGGGGCTGGGGGGGGGGGGGGGGATCTCCGCTTTGGTTGCGTTTGTTGCAGTTTTTTTATTTCTGAGCCCGGGATCTGGCTCGGTGAAAAGCGACTTTTCCGGGAAGCGCTTAAGGGAAAAGAAAGTCTCGTCTGAAAATTCGTTTATGGGACGGGATCGGTTTTGGGAAATTATTTAATTTTGTTTGTTACTCATTTGAATAGAGAGAACCGTCTGCAGTGCGCAGAGAAATATTCACATTCGTCTGGGGATAGTTTAATCAGGGGGAAAGACGTTTCTTCCCGTCTCCTGCTCTCCGTTTTCCAGAGTCCCAGCAAAGGAGACCCGCAGGCCCATTGCTTGGGTCCATATTTTGCTTTGATCAATAAATCCCGTTCTAGACTCGGTCGCAGATTGTTCGGTGGGGTGGCTTTTTTTCAGTCCCCAGTAAATATCCTTCAATCTTCCGCAATCTGCCCCGGAAATCAGAAACCCAGAAGCACCAAAAAGACCGGCTCTTTCACGGGAATATATATATTTTTTTAAATAAAACGTTCCCCTGCGATTGCACAAAACCCGATTCTCGTTTCTAAACTCCCATGAGCCGCGTTCCCAGAGCTGCTTCTTGCAGCCAGATTCATTACGATGCCCCAGGTTTTCAGTGGATGCCCTGCCTCTGAACCCGGTTTGGGTTTTCCCCCCTGAATCTTGAAGATTAGCTCATGGGAGATGTTAATTTCAGGTCCAAAGGGAGCCCCAAAAGTCCCAGCGATCACTAAACGGACAAAGAGAAGCAAAGCAAGCCCAGGCTGAAGCTAAAACAGCCGCACGCAATGACCCTCAGGCTGGGATCCACTCAGCCTAGGATTTAACCTGGTTCAGCGAGTGGGCGCTTGGGGAAGGTGCCTCCCGCTTGCAGCTGGGTTTGGTCAAGTGCCCTGCACCTTCACTGGATTGACTTTAGCAAACCAAACCAAACCCCTCTGCAAAGCACTCCACGGTGAGTGACTCAGCCCAGCGGCGGGGTTCACCCTTGCCGATTGTGCGTAGACCTAGAGCCCAGAGCAGCCTCCTGCCCGTCATCCCCCCAAAATGAAACAAACCAGAGAACTAGCTCAAGGAGGCAGGCTGCAAGCCTCGCATTTTGTCCTCACCCAGCACAAGGACCCGGCTGGGAGTCAGCTGCGCATCAGGGGGAGATTAACAGCGGAGGGTGAGTTTATGGGCAAGATTTGCTGTTGTGGTGTTTATTTAGTCAGCTCTTAAACCACACGGATGGAATTTCTGTCGCTCCGCACAGGACTTGGGTGCAGGTAAAATGGATCCGAGCTATTCCGAAGCAGGAGGGTACATGTGGTGGGGAGCACGGGGCCTGATCCAAAGCCCATTGAAGTAACTAGAAAGACGCTGGTTGACTCCATTTGGCTGTGGATCAGGCCCTGGGTTAGATAGAAAACAGAGATGAAGCTGCTGACCATGTAAAGCCCCATGTCACTGCAACATTTATTCACTCAGCTCTAACCATCCAAGGCCTTTGTCTATTCTGCGGGTAGGGGGAAGGGTGGCCCCAGTCCCTCTTGGGTATTAGAAACAACTTCTGTTGTAGGGATGGGCTGCAGGCCCCTCTGCAGAGATCATGGGCATGGAGTTAGAGGGTAAATCTCTGGCAAATGAAGACATGACCTTGTGATTATTCCTCAAAAGGCAAAAGAATCAAGCTAGCCACAGCCTCTCTTCAGGTGGGTTTAATGCAGCTTGAATGGGGTGGGAAATAGGGAAAGGTGCTGGGAACACACTGGTTTCTGAGCCAGAGCCCTATAGTTGTAAAGGGTGAGGGGGTCACTGCACCTGCTGGTTTAAGGGTTTTGTTTTCAGAGCTAACAGGGTGATGTCATGAGAGCACGAGGCTGGTGCTCAGAACG